TCTGTATCTGTATCTGTATCTGTATATATTATATCATCTATATCTGCATCTGCATCTGTATCTGCATCTGCGTCTACATCTGTTTCCTTATCCGTATCTATATCATCCATATCTATATCTTTTTATCTGTATCTAAAAAACCAACAACATGAGCTGTAGTGTGAAAGATGAGCAAACTTTCAATCCACCTCCATGAGTTATCGCTCCTCTTTAAATTGTCTATTAGGGGTGCCCATAAAGCTGAATTAAAAAGTTTTGTACTAAACCAATTATAAAGCGATTCCTTCTCTTTATTTTTATTAAAAATAAAGCACACAAAACAACGTGGGATGGCGTGTCAGAGTGGTAGAGAGCTAGACGGTTAACCCGAGAGTCTACGGGTTCAAATCATTGGGTTCACCAAACTCTGTTAGTGTTAGGCACCTACAATACGTTAAGACACGAGGCGGCTAGGCATACTGCTAACCACGCTATACTTTCATATACCGAGGTCTCTGAAGCAGATGAACTCTATTTTGTCTTGGGCACGAAGGGAACTGATGATAATAAAGAATAACACAGCTATAAAAAGGTATGTGTTCATTCAAAATTATTAATATAAATGTAAATAAACACAAAAAAAAACCACGGAAAACTATAACACATATCGATCTCAAACCTCATTATATATTTGAAAATTGATAATAATATTAACTTTCAATGAGTTTCTATTAATAGAAAACGAAAGTACTTCAATCTTCCTCGATCGGATTAGTATTAGCATAAATACTTTAATTTTCGATAATTTTATAATGCCACGACGCAAATGTTTTGACGTAAATGTTTAGACGCAGTCGCAGTGTTTAATAATTGCCGTTTAAAAAATTCTGTAAAATACAAAATCAACCGAAGGAAGAAGTAAATACAAAGAAAATAGCCGCTCTAGCGATATCATGACATAGATTTACGATTAAAAACTTACATTCTGAAAACGACGAATCAAGTAGATTCTGTTGTATTTTTAAACGCATTATTTTAATACGTATACTATAAGACATTATTAATGTATTACATCTCACTTATAATGATTGGCTTTTAAAGGTTATATTACTCAACAAACACAACACATTAGAAAGAGAAAAATACACTATGATAATAGAAAACTAGAATCTGAAAACAACGAATTAAATAGAAAATTTGTTATCAAACGCTCGGTGCTTCGTTACGGTCTTAGAGAGTAAAAATTCCGTGTTTTAATTTGTAGTATCCATAAATAAAGAACAACTTTCTTTCTTATTATAAGCTTAAAACAATAAGCCATAATTACAGAAATTAAGTTTTCATAAAACGAAAATCGAAAATCTAAAAACAAAAATACAATATCAACATTCGAATATAGAAAAAAAAATTTTAAACAAATTTTGAAAACCGAATTCCGGCCGGAAATCCAGTTTTCAAAATTCCGCAGAGCTGTTCCGCCAGTCTGTTAGAGTGGTGCTCTTCGCGGATCTATTGAAGCAGGGTGGCGCAGCGGGTTGACGGGAACTGCCAGCATCAGGGGCTAGGTCTTACTCCCTCCCCAGGGGATAAAGACGGAGGCGATTGACACACGGCTGAGCCTGTGTGGCCAGGCTACACTGCACTGGTTTCAACACTGCGGGTGACAGGAGACCCACGGTACACGCTGCTCGTGTTCAAACTGAATCAGAACACCCTACTGGGACGACCGTGAAGAAGAAAACAAAACAACCTGTAATGGCATGCATGAGCGAACGTACAAGACAGCACGTAATGAGTAGGACTATACGGGGTTGCCCCATTTGAACATTGGAGACGATTTTTTCCCGACGGCCGAGAGAGCACTCCCGATTGAACCACCATAAAAATTACATTTATATTTACTTTTAAATTTACGTTTAGTTTTTAAAATTTATCTGGCCAACTCCCGATCGAACCACCATAAAATCGCAGACATTTATATTTACTCTTAAATTTACGTTTAGTTTTTTAAAATTTATCTGGCCAACTCCCGATCGAACCACTATAAAATCGCAGACATTTATATTTACTCTTAAATTTACGTTTGGTTTTTTTTTAATTTATCTGGCCAACTCCCTATCGAACATTAACGTTTGTTTTTTGTTTTTTATTTTATCTGGCTAACTAGTGACTAATGATACGAATAACTGACGGCAGGAGGTGTGGATTTGTGAGGGTGTGAGGGCAGGTTTGGGGCAACACCATCGACTGACAATTGCTGTTTTACATAATTACCGTTAATTAATTAGAAAATAATTCCGTACCGGCCTGAATAATGTTGACATGTGGTATAAGGAGATGGCAAGGTTCTATCATAACATTTGCTGCATGTGTGACTGTCTGTCATAACGTTTGCTGGATGTATGCCTGTCATAACATTTGCTGGATGTGTGACAGTCTGTCATAACATTTGCTGGATTTGTGACTGTCTGTCAGATCATGTGCTGTATGTGTGACTGTCATAACATATGCTGTATGTGTGACTGTCATAAAATATTCTGGATGTGTGACTGTCTGTCATAACATTTGCTGGATGTGTGACTGTCTGTCAAAACATTTGCTGGATGTGTATCTGGCTGTCATAACATTTGCTGGATGTGTGACTGTTTGCCATAACATTTGCTGGATGTGTGACTGTCTGTCATAACATTTGCTGGATGTGTGACTGTCTGTCATAACATTTGCTGGATGTATGACTGTCATAACATTTGCTAGATGTGTGACTGTCTGTCATAACATTTGCTGGATGTGTGACTGTCTGTCATAACATTTGCTGGATGTATGACTGTCTGTCATAACATTTGCTGGATGTGTGACTGTCTGTCATAACATTTGCTGGATGTGTGACTGTCTGTCATAACATTTGCTGGATGTATGACTGTCTGTCATAACATTTGCTGGATGTGTGACTGTCTGTCATAACATTTGCTGCATGTGTATCTGGCTGTCAAAACATTTGCTGGATGTGTGACTGTCTGTCATAACATTTGCTAAATGTGTGACTGTCTGTCAAAACATTTGCTGGATGTGTGAGTGTCATAACATTTGCTGGATGTGTGACTGTCATAACATTTGCTGGATGTGTGACTGTCTGTCATAACATTTGCTGGATGTGTATCTGGCTGTCATAACATTTGCTGGATGTGTATCTGTCTGTCAAAACATTTGCTGGATGTATGACTGTCATAACATTTGCTGGACGTGTGACTGTCTGTCATAACATTTGCTGGATGTGTCAGTGTCATAACATTTGCTGGATGTGTGACTGTCATAACATTTGCTGGATGTGTGACTGTCTGTCATAACATTTGCTGGATGTGTATCTGGCTGTCATAACATTTGCTGGATGTGTATCTGTCTGTCAAAACATTTGCTGGATGTATGACTGTCATAACATTTGCTGGACGTGTGACTGTCTGTCATAACATTTGCTGGATGTGTGACTGTCTGTCATAACATTTGCTGGATGTGTGACTGTCTGTCATAACATTTACTGGATGTGTGACTGTCATAACATTTGCTGGATGTGTGACTGTCTGTCATAACATTTGCTGGATGTGTGACAGTCTGTCATAACATTTACTGGATGTGTGACTGTCTGTCATAACATTTACTGGATGTGTGACTGTCATAACATTTGCTGGATGTGTGACTGTCTGTCATAACATTTGCTGGACGTGTGACTGTCTGTCATAACATTTGCTGGATGTGTGACTGTCTGTCATAACATTTACTGGATGTGTGACTGTCATAACATTTGCTGGATGTGTGACTGTCTGTCATAACATTTGCTGGATGTGTGACAGTCAAAACATTTGCTGGATGTGTATCTGGCTGTCATAACATTTGATGGATGTGTGACTGTTTGCCATAACATTTGCTGGATGTGTGACTGTCTGTCATAACATTTGCTGGATGTGTGACTGTCTGTCATAACATTTGCTGGATGTGTGACTGTCTGTCATAACATTTGCTGGATGTGTGACTGTCTGTCATAACATTTGCTGGATGTATGACTGTCATAACATTTGCTAGATGTGTGACTGTCTGTCATAACATTTGCTGGATGTGTGACTGTCTGTCATAACATTTGCTGGATGTATGACTGTCTGTCATAACATTTGCTGGATGTGTGACTGTCTGTCATAACATTTGCTGGATGTGTGACTGTCTGTCATAACATTTGCTGGATGTATGACTGTCTGTCATAACATTTGCTGGATGTGTGACTGTCTGTCATAACATTTGCTGCATGTGTATCTGGCTGTCAAAACATTTGCTGGATGTGTGACTGTCTGTCATAACATTTGCTAAATGTGTGACTGTCTGTCAAAACATTTGCTGGATGTGTGAGTGTCATAACATTTGCTGGATGTGTGACTGTCATAACATTTGCTGGATGTGTGACTGTCTGTCATAACATTTACTGGATGTGTGACAGTCTATCATAACATTTGCTGGATGTGTGACTATCTGTCATAACATTTGCTGGATGTGTGACTGTCTGTCATAACATTTGCTGGATGTGTGACTGTTTGCCATAACATTTGCTGGATGTGTGACTGTCTGTCATAACATTTGCTGGATGTGTGACTGTCTGTCAGATTATGTGCTGGATGCTTGACTGTGTAACCAGTTGGACGTATTTCTCCTACAGTTCAATATGATGAGGACTATTCAGTACATTTGTTTAAATATTAGTGTATTTTTAAATATTCAAACTAAATAATTTTTTTCTCCTTTTTAGTAAACTATTACATAAAAGCTTGTTACTAAACGGGTTTATAAATTTATTTTTATAAATAAAAGATTTTAGGCACGTGACGTCATATTTTTCTTATTAGCGCAACTCGCTTCAATAGATGAACAGAAAGAGTGCGCAAAAAAAAAAGGGGGAAAATAAATGCACTGTTTCGGATGGCATTTGAACGGTGTTGGCATAGTGAATCTATGTAGAGAGCGAATCTATTGACGATATAAACAAACACAACACTCATCTCTACAACCGGATATCAAGGTTACACCCCAACGAGTTGGTTGAGTATACGGAGCAGCAACAATTCACAAAAGACTGTGAAGCTAACACAAACCTGGACAATTTTAAGTACTGTAAGACTTTCCAAAAACGGCAAGCAGAGGTTACAGCGGATGAACCAGCGGTGTCTTTTTTCCGGCACGTGTCAAGCGAATTGAGTAAGTACTCGGACACAAATCTCAAGTTCATTAAAAATTGTTACGCTCTCCCTTCAAACCGTAACATGAAAGACATCATGAATTACCTGTCTCGTCCTTTGTCTCTGGACCCTCTCACGCGCCGAGGAATGAAGAGAATGCGCTCACAGTCGCCGAACCTCAGACATAGGATCCGTTCAGCTGAGAGACACAGCGTCCAGACTGGCCGATCTCTCAATGCTGAAAGTCTGAGCGTTTGTACTGAAGAAATGCAAGACTCTTCTCGTGACAGGGGTATCCGTCACTTCGATTTCGGCAACAGACCGCGGTTCAGAAGCGTAGACCTTATTGGCACCAAGACGCGTCGCTGTCTTAAAGACGATGAAGCCAACGAAGGCCAAACGACCGTCAAACGCGCGAATAGCAGCTCCAACATAAGAGAATCAGCACGCAATAGCTTTACAACTAAGCATGCTAAAAAAGATTGCATCGAAGTCGGTCATATTTCCCACAATAAAACAAGGAATAATTCTGAAAATTGCCTGGAGGAGAGAGCGACCTATTTAGATGACGTCAGAATATTTATCGTTGCATCTGCTAGTTCGGCCAGTGAAGAAAACGGAAGCTCACGACAAATGAGCTGTGAGAAATACCTGAAAAAGATGATTAACAAGGTGCTAAAACACGATGAGTCTGCTCACACTGAGGGCTCTAATGGCAAGTTCCGTGTGCTCGACAATATCAACAAGACCTCCAACAAGACCTCCAACAAGACCTCCAACAAGACCTCCAACAAGACCTCCAACAAGACCTCCAACAAGACCTCCAACAAGACCTCCAACAAGACCTCCAACAAGACCTCCAACAAGACCTCCAACAAGTCGTCGAATAACACCGAGAACCAGCAGCATCGCTCGTGGGACATCAACACCACCTCAGGAGTAGCTGCACCGCGATACACGGTCATTTTGTTGATCATTTTCTGTGGACTGCTCACGCCAACAGGTTAGTGTTTTCGTATACATTATCAGTGTGTTGTGTTGTGTTTGGTTGTGTTATGTAATGTGATTGATATATTACAATGCAATGCATCTCTACCCTACCCTACCCTACCCTACCCTACCCTACCCGTCCCTACCCTACTCTACCCTCCCCTACTCTACTCTACCCTACCCTACCCTACCCTACCCTACCCTACCCTACCCTACCCTACCCTACTCCACTCTACCCTACCCTACCCTACCCTACCCTACCCTACCCTACCCTACCTTTCCCTACCCTACCCTACCCTACCCTACCCTACCTACCCTACCCTACCCTACCCTACCCTACCCTACCCTACCCTACCCTACCCTACCCTACCCTACCCTACCCTACCCTACCCTACCCTACTCTACCGTTCCTTACCCTACCCTACCCTACCCTACACTTCCCTACCCTACTGTACCCTACCCTACCCTACCCTACCCTACCCTACCCTACCCTACCCTACCCTACCCTACCCTACCCTACCCTACCCTACCCTACCCTACCCTACCCTACTGTACCCTACCCTACCCTACCCTACCCTACCCTACCCTACCCTACCCTACCCTACTGTACCCTACCCTACCCTACCCTACCCTACCCTACCCTACCCTACCCTACCCTACCCTACCCTACCCTACCCTACCCTACCCTACTCCACCCTACCCTACCCTACCCTACCCTGCTCTACCCCTCCCCAGTCCGCCCTACCTAACCCTAGCCGTCCAAACCCCACCAAACCCTACTCCACCACTCCACTCTACTCTACTCTGCTATGCTATGCTCTGCTCTGCTCTGCTCTGCTCTGCTCTGCTCTGCTCTGCTCTGCTCTGCTCTGCTCTACTCTACTTTTATGTGAACCCAACTTTGACCCCCCTCACCCCCCCCCTCCCTCCCTCTCTCAAGCATTTTATAATATGGTTTTAACTAGAATAGAAGAGAAGTATTTAAAAATGAGACAGGAAAAGAAAGCTGCTTCAAAAAAGGAGCAGAATTCTACAAGATTTTCACGCATGCCCGAACGATGCTTAATACGATTTCATAAATTAATATCAATCTCCACCAATATTAAATAGTAAAACCTCTCCCCCCCCTCCCCCCTTTTGAACGAGTTATTGCACTGTCTGTCATTGAAAAGAAAAGTTTTTGATACATGTTCCAGTTATTATCTACAGCTAGGCTAGAGCGGACATCTTCACGGTTAGATTGGTTTAGACAATGTTGCTAGATTTGTTGGAGGAGTTATAATTAGTAAACCCTAATTGGTATAGTACAGGGGTCGGCAACCTGCGGCTCGCGAGCCGCATGCGGCTCTTTTGATGTCAAGGTGCGGCTCTAGAGTTCCATGCACAAATATTAAAAGTTATATTATTTCATGTTCAAATCTCATAAAAAATTATACTGTAAATAAAAAACAACTTTAAACAGGATTAAAACACTCATCAGAGAACAGTGAGCATAGGTAAGGTAGAAAGTATACGGACAGTCGCTTGGGCACCAGGTCCAGCCCCACATCCGTGCTGTAACCAGCACCGTGGCTACTATTCCATGTTTGCCACTGCCCAAGTGCCAACTTCTTTCGAATATCGTTAAATGGGGAATGTTATTTTTATAGAGAATGCATTCCTCTACCTGTCAGTATGCATTAATTTGACCTGGGTGACGTAGTATTTTAGTTATTAGCTTCAAACGGTTGGGCCAGGTACTGGACTCTGGGTTCGAGTTTACCCTGGGCTCTGTGGGGTGGAAGATAAGCCCTGTGAGAACCGAAGGACAGAAGTGACCGATACACGGTAATCAAACCGCTATCCAATCCAGTTAGTCGGAATTTGCCGTGTTGAGGCCTGTCTGGCTATGGTAGACACCTACTGAATCAGTGGTGTCCGTAAAGAAAAAAAAACTTATTGGCTTCTAAAGTGGATTGGTATAGTCGTATAGATAGTCCTATACATGAGATTACTTACTTTATCATAGCAGATCTCACTTAAACAGTTCTTGTGAGAAACATGGGTTTGTTTTCATATGAAACAATAAGTTCATATTTAACGCTATTTATTTCAAATAAAAAATCAAATGTATTTACCTAATCCTTATCAAATACCAAAATGTTGGGAAAAAAATGTTAGTGGCTCTTTATAAGCTGGGACATTTTGTAAATTGTAATTTTTTGCTCTTCCGACTGAAAAGGTTGCCGACCTTGGTATAGTAGTTTATTATCTTGTACAATGACGGGAGAAAACTCAAGACACATGACAAACTCTACCTAAATTAACCTCTACGCTGAAGTTATCTGCAAGCAATAGACATAGTCTCGTTAACATGTTTCAATTCTCTTACGAATTTTTAATATATATATATATATATATATATATATATATATATATATATATATATATATATATATATATATATATATATATATATATATATATATATATATATATATCAGGCTATTGGTTAATTTAAATGTTTTACTATGGAGATGTTGCGTAACATTACAAACTGGTGTAGCCAGTGGTTGAAACTAGGACAGACTGGGGTAGCAGATGGTTAAACTAGGACAAACTGGGGTAGCCAGTGGTTGAAACTAGCGAAACTGGGGTAGCTAGTGTTTGAAACTAGGACAAACTGGGGTAGCCGATGGTTGAAACTAAGACAAACTGGGGTAGCCAGTGGTTGAAACTAGCGAAACTGGGGTAGCTAGTGTTTGAAACTAGGACAAACTGGGGTAGCCGATGGTTGAAACTAGGACAAACTGGGGTAGCAGATGGTTGAAACTAGGACATACTGGGGTAACAGATGGTTGAAACTAGGACAAACTGGGGTAGCCAGTGGTTGAAACTAGGACAAACTGGGGTAGCCAGTGGTTGAAACTAGGACAAACTGGGGTAGCCAGTGGTTGAAACTAGGACATACTGGGGTAGCAGATGGTTGAAACTAGGACAAACTGGGGTAGCAGATGGTTGAAACTAGGACAAACTGGGGTAGCAGATGGTTGAAACTAGGACAAACTGGGGTAGCAGATGGTTGAAACTAGGACAAACTGGGGTAGTAGATGGTTGAAACTAGGACATAACAAACTGGGGTAGCCAGTGGTTGAAACTAGGACATACTGGGGTAGCAGATGGTTGAAACTAGGACAAACTGGGGTAGCCAGTGGTTGAAACTAGGACATAACAAACTGGGGTAGCCAGTGGTTGAAACTAGGACAAACTGGGGTAGCAGATGGTTGAAACTAGGACAAACTGGGGTAGAAGATGGTTGAAACTAGGACATAACAAACTGGGGTAGCCAGTGGTTGAAACTAGGACAAACTGGGGTAGCAGATGGTTGAAACTAGGACAAACTGGGGTAGAAGATGGTTGAAACTAGGACAAACTGGGGTAGCAGATGGTTGAAACTAGCGAAACTGGGGTAGCAGATGGTTGAAACTAGGACAAACTGGGGTAGCCAGTGGTTGAAACTAGGACAAACTGGGGTAGCCAGTGGTTGAAACTAAGACAAACTGGGGTAGCAGATGGTTGAAACTAGGACATAACAAACTGGGGTAGCAGATGGTTGAAACTAGGACATAACAAACTGGGGTAACAGATGGTTGAAACTAGGACAAACTGGGGTAGCAGATGGTTGAAACTAGGACATAACAAACTGGGGTAGCAGATGGTTGAAACTAGGACAAACTGGGGTAGCAGATGGTTGAAACTAGGACAAACTGGGGTAACAGATGGTTGAAACTAGGACAAACTGGGGTAGAAGATGGTTGAAACTAGCGAAACTGGGGTAGCAGATGGTTGAAACTAGGACATAACAAACTGGGGTAGCAGATGGTTGAAACTAGGACAAACTGGGGTAACAGATGGTTGAAACTAGGACAAACTGGGGTAGAAGATGGTTGAAACTAGGACAAACTGGGGTAGCAGATGGTTGAAACTAGGACAAACTGGGGTAGCAGATGGTTGAAACTAGGACAAACTGGGGTAGCAGATGGTTGAAACTAGGACAAACTGGGGTAGCAGATGGTTGAAACTAGGACAAACTGGGGTAGAAGATGGTTGAAACTAGGACATAACAAACTGGGGTAGCAGATGGTTGAAACTAGGACATAACAAACTGGGGTAGCAGATGGTTGAAACTAGGACAAACTGGGGTAGAAGATGGTTGAAACTAGGACAAACTGGGGTAGCAGATGGTTGAAACTAGGACAAACTGGGGTAGAAGATGGTTGAAACTAGGACAAACTGGGGTAGCTAGTGGTTGAAACTAGGACTAACTGGGGTAGCAGATGGTTGAAACTAGGACAAACTGGGGTGGAAGATGGTTGAAACTAGGACAAACTGGGGTAGCCAGTGGTTGAAACTAGGACTAACTGGGGTAGCAGATGGTTGAAACTAGGACAAACTGGGGTAGCCAGTGGTTGAAACTATGACAAACTGGGGTAGCAGATGGTTGAAACTAGGACATAACAAACTGGGGTAGAAGATGGTTGAAACTAGGACATAACAAACTGGGGTAGCAGATGGTTGAAACTAGGACAAACTGGGGTAGCCAGTGGTTGAAACTAGGACAAACTGGGGTAACAGATGGTTGAAACTAGGACAAACTGGGGCAGCAGATGGTTGCAACTAGGACAAACTGGGGTAGCAGATGGTTGAAACTAGGACAAACTGGGGTAACAGATGGTTGAAACTAGGACAAACTGGGGTAGCCAGTGGTTGAAACTAGGACAAACTGGGGTAGCAGATGGTTGAAACTAGGACAAACTGGGGCAGCAGATGGTTGAAACTAGGACATACTGGGGTAACAGATGGTTGAAACTAGGAAAAACTGGGGTAGCATTTGGTTGAAACTAGGACAAACTGGTGTAGCCAGTGGTTGAAACTAGCGAAACTGGGGTAGCAGATGGTTGAAACTAGGACATAACAAACTGGGGTAGCCAGTGGTTGAAACTAGGACAAACTGGGGTAGCAGATGGTTGAAACTAGGACATACTGGGGTAGCCAGTGGTTGAAACTAGGACAAACTGGGGTAGAAGATGGTTGAAACTAGGACAAACTGGGGTAGCCAGTGGTTGAAACTAGGACAAACTGGGGTAGCAGATGGTTGAAACTAGGACAAACTGGGGTAACAGATGGTTGAAACTAGGACAAACTGGGGTAGAAGATGGTTGAAACTAGGACAAACTGGGGTAACAGATGGTTGAAACTAAGACAAACTGGGGTAGCAGATGGTTGAAACTAGGACAAACTGGGGTAGCAGATGGTTGAAACTAAGACAAACTGGGGTAGCATTTGGTTGAAACTAGGACAAACTGGGGTAACAGATGGTTGAAACTAGGACAAACTGGGGTAGTAGATGGTTGAAACTAGGACAAACTGGGGTAGCCAGTGGTTGAAACTAGCGAAACTGGGGTAGCAGATGGTTGAAACTAGGACAAACTGGGGTAGCAGATGGTTGAAACTAGGACAAACTGGGGTAGCCAGTGGTTGAAACTAGCGAAACTGGGGTAGCAGATGGTTGAAACTAGGACATAACAAACTGGGGTAGCCAGTGGTTGAAACTAGGACAAACTGGGGTAGCAGATGGTTGAAACTAGGACATACTGGGGTAGCCAGTGGTTGAAACTAGGACATAACAAACTGGGGTAGCCAGTGGTTGAAACTAGGACAAACTGGGGTAGCAGATGGTTGAAACTAGGACAAACTGGGGTAGCCAGTGGTTGAAACTAGCACATAACAAACTGGGGTAGCAGATGGTTGAAACTAGGACATACTGGGGTAACAGATGGTTGAAACTAGGACAAACTGGGGTAGCATTTGGTTGAAACTAGGACAAACTGGTGTAGCCAGTGGTTGAAACTAGCGAAACTGGGGTAGCAGATGGTTGAAACTAGGACATAACAAACTGGGGTAGCCAGTGGTTGAAACTAGGACAAACTGGGGTAGCAGATGGTTGAAACTAGGACATACTGGGGTAGCCAGTGGTTGAAACTAGGACAAACTGGGGTAGAAGATGGTTGAAACTAGGACAAACTGGGGTAGCCAGTGGTTGAAACTAGGACAAACTGGGGTAGCAGATGGTTGAAACTAGGACAAACTGGGGTAACAGATGGTTGAAACTAGGACAAACTGGGGTAGAAGATGGTTGAAACTAGGACAAACTGGGGTAGCAGATGGTTTAAACTAGGACAAACTGGGGTAGTAGATGGTTGAAACTAGGACAAACTGGGGTAGCCAGTGGTTGAAACTAGCGAAACTGGGGTAGCAGATGGTTGAAACTAGGACAAACTGGGGTAGCAGATGGTTGACACTAGGACAAACTGGGGTAGCCAGTGGTTGAAACTAGCGAAACTGGGGTAGCAGATGGTTGAAACTAGGACATAACAAACTGGGGTAGCCAGTGGTTGAAACTAGGACAAACTGGGGTAGCAGATGGTTGAAACTAGGACATACTGGGGTAGCCAGTGGTTGAAACTAGGACATAACAAACTGGGGTAGCCAGTGGTTGAAACTAGGACAAACTGGGGTAGCAGATGGTTGAAACTAGGACATACTGGGGTAGCCAGTGGTTGAAACTAGCACATAGCAAACTGGGGTAGCAGATGGTTGAAACTAAGACAAACTGGGGTAGCCAGTGGTTGAAACTAGGACATAACAAACTGGGGTAGCCAGTGGTTGAAACTAGGACAAACTGGGGTAGCAGATGGTTGAAACTAGGACAAACTGGGGTAGCAGATGGTTGAAACTAGGACATACTGGGGTAGCAGATGGTTGAAACTAGGACATACTGGGGTAGCTAGTGATTGAAACTAGGACATACTGGGGTAGCAGATGGTTGAAACTAGGACAAACTGGGGTAGCCAGTGGTTGAAACTAGGACAAACTGGGGTAGCCAGTGGTTGAAACTAGGACAAACTGGGGTAGAAGATGGTTGAAACTAGGACAAACTGGGGTAGCAGATGGTTGAAACTAGGACAAACTGGGGTAGCAGATGGTTGAAACTAGGACAAACTGGGGTAGCGGATGTACTCCCATCTCATTGACTACCATACCCCCTGGTTATTTCACCAACATCATTACCCACCCCCTCCCCATCGATTATCCCTGTCAATTATCTCACCTATAAAACCTAACCCAATTAAAAACTGTCAGTAGGACATTACCAATCGGTTAGGGTAACTGTAATGGTAGTTGTGATAATGGTGCTGGTTAGGGTAATTCTAGTGCACATAAGAATAGTCACGGTTTATATATCTATACATTATTTCATTTTTTATATGCTATATGCATTTATGCATATATATATATATATATATATATATATATATATATACATATATATATATATATATATATATATATATATATATATATATATATTTATTTATATATTTATATATATATATATATATATATATATATATAAATTTGTAGTTATTTGTGTATATATATATATATATATATATATATATATATATATATATATATATATATATATATATATATATATATATATATATATATATATATATATAGTACATGTGCGTAATCCTTAAGAATTTCTTGCAGATGCTTTTTTAGACACTACGACGACCTTCACATCGTTCATTACATTCAAGTTGGGGTAATTAATTTACAAGATTTTCATTTTTAATTTAAATAATACATTAAAGTCGCTCTGCACAAATATGGCCAGTCCCGTTCAGGTGATAAGGTGTTGAGAGGGAGGGGGGTATAACCAACTCACAATGAACATTGCGTCAATTTTTATATGGCTGTAACAATATCTAAACATACATATACATATATACCATTGAGAAATAGATTTAAGTAGTTACAGTAGTTCTAACCCCTGCTTGAACGTTAGTGACAGCCACGCTTCTAGGAGAGACAACTCCAAAATCAAACAACTGCTGCCTTGTAGTTTGTTCTTAGGTCGCAAAGGCTATGGAAACAAATAAAAAAGAAAAGCAGGCTGAAATCGGAGTCAACTGCCTGTATGGCGATTACCACGTTGACATATAACATTTGAAACAACAATTACACCAACAGAGAAAAACAGAGAAAACGTTTAGGAACTAAGAAACAAACTACTTATTTGAAAGGACAATTAATTTTTGAATTTACACCAACAGAGAAGACATTTGGTCTACACTGCTGTGTGTCTTGTTGGTGTTTTTTGGACAAAAACTCTGCGGCAGTAAGTCTTCTTAGTGGCGTCACTAGGTAGGGTGTCACCCGGTGCGGCACCTCACGGTGTCACCCTCCCCACCAAAGGAAAAAAAATAGGATATATATATATATATATATATATATATATATATATATATATATATATATATATTTATATATGTCTACATAGGCCTATATATAATTTTAATTGGTGTCACGTCACCCCGCCCCCCCCCCCCCCCTACCATCTTTACCAAAGGGCGTGAATTTATGCACTTATAATTCGAGAGGAAAAGAGCAACAATTTCATAGTTAATTATTAGATACGGTGTCAGATATTTTAAAACTCTAATTAATCATTCATTGAACTTGCAAAAAGCAAGTTTCTTCTATATATTTTGCAATTTTTTTGTCTTGGTGTCTCCCCCCCCCCCCTCCCCACTTAAACTGTGTTCCCCGTTGCGGTCCGCTCCCTCCGCCACCACCTCGCGACGCCTCTGAGTATTCTTTTTGTTAAGAAAATGTGTTTTAATATAGTTTTCTAATGTTCATTAAATTATTCAAAACCAGCCAGCTGACTTTATTAGTGTTAGTAAAATAAGGATCGATTCTTATATGGTCAATATATATATATATATATATATATATATATATATATATATATATATATATATATATATATATATATATATATATATATAAATGATTTTGGACCTTTAGAAATCCACAAAAAGGTGGGTTTTTTTTCAAGATGGCTGCCGTTGCCATGGTCGGCTACATGACCTGTGTGTGGTCTAAGCGGTAGAGCCCACAGCTGCTTACCCTAAGGTCTCGAGTTCAAATGTGGGTTCAAGTCAGTAGAACGTCCCTGAGTCCACCCAACTCTGATGGTACCTAACTCACGTTAGGGAAAGTAAACGGCTGGGCAAAGTGCTGACTACATTTATCCCTTTATATGTTGAGGTCAAGAAACATTTACCTTACATTGCATTTAAAACTATTTAAAAATTGTATGCTGCAGTATATTTTTTTTCCATCGTTGAAACAGAAGTCTGGGATTTGTTGTTCGCCAAAAAGAAGCCTATTGTAGATCAACAGGACACGGTGATTGTATCCAAAAGGACTCTGCTGGAATTATTGGAAAACAATACCAAACGTAAGGTTTTCACGTATAGATATGCATGTAGTTACATTGTTATATATTAGCGGTAGTATAAATAACTGTTATCATTATTTTTTTTTTGCAGTGGTTGGCTTCATTCTGGAGCATCATTTCTGTGACGAAATCCAGGCTGTTAAAAAAAGGAGAGACCAATCGCACAAGCTCGACATTGCTGTAAAGCCTTAATGGTCAGTGATTGTTGTGGTCAATTTGATAGTCATAGTCGTATGGTAGAGTTTACGACTGATAATCCAAAAATCTGGAGTTCGCATACTAAGATCAAGTGTAGGGTGTCCGTGACTCCACCCAGCTATGTGGGTACCTGACTCCACCCAGGTAGGTGGGTACCTGACTCCACCCAACTAGGTGGGTACCTGACTCCACTAGCTAGGTGGGTACCTGACTCCACTAGCTAGGTGGGTACCTGACTCCACCCAGCTAGGTGGGTACCTGACTCCACCCAACTAGGTGGGTACCTGACTCCACCCAACTAGGTGGGTACCTGACTCCACTAGCTAGGTGGGTACCTGACTCCACTCAGCTAAGTGGGTACCTGACTCCACTAGCTAGGTGGGTACCTGACTCCACTAGCTAGGTGGGAACTGACTCCACTAGCTAGGTAGGTACCTGACTCCACTAGCTAGGTGGGAACTGACTCCACTAGCTAGGTAGGTACCTTACTCCAACCAGCTAGGTGGGTACCTGACTCCACCCAGCTAAGTGGTACCTGACTCCACCCAGCTAAGTGGTACCTGACTCCACTAGCTAGGTGGGTACCTGACTCCACTAGCTAGGTGGGTACCTGACTCCACTCAGCTAAGTGGGTACCTGACTCCACCCAGCTAAATGGTACCTGACTCCACTAGCTAGGTGGGTACCTGACTCCACTAGCTAGGTGGGTACCTGACTCCACTAGCTAGGTGGGTACCTGACTCCACTAGCTAGGTGGGTACCTGACTGCACTAGCTAGGTGGGTACCTGACTCCACTAGCTAGGTGGGTACCTGACTCCACTCAGCTAAGTGGGTACCTGACTCCACCCAGCTAAGTGGTACCTGACTCCACTAGCTAGGTGGGTACCTGACTCCACTAGCTAGGTGGGTACCTGACTCCACTAGCTAGGTGGGTACCTGACTCCACTAGCTAGGTGGGTACCTGACTCCACTAGCTAGGTGGGTACCTGACTCCACTCAGCTAAGTGGGTACCTGACTCCACCCAGCTTAGTGGTACCTGACTCCACTAGCTAGGTGGGTACCTGACTCCACTAGCTAGGTGGGTACCTGACTCCACTAGCTAAGTGGGTACCTGACTCCACTAGCTAGGTGGGTACCTGACTCCACCCAGCTAGGTGGGTACCTGACTCCACTAGCTAGGTGGGTACCTGACTCCACTAGCTAGGTGGGTACCTGACTCCACTAGCTAGGTAGGTACCTTACTCCAACCAGCAAGGTGGGTACCTGACTCCACCCAGCTAGGTGGGTACCTGACTCCACCAGACTAGGTGGGTACCTCTCCACCCAGCTAGGTGGGTACCTGACTCTAGTCCACCCAGCTATGTATTTACCTGACTCCACTAGCTAGGTGGGTTCCTGACTCCACCCAACTAGGTGGGTACATCTCCACCCAGCTATGTAGGTACCTGACTCCACTAGCTAGGTGGGTACCTGACTCCACTCAGCTAAGTGGGTACCTGAATCCACTAGCTAGGTGGGTACCTGACTCCACTAGCTAGGTGGGTACCTGACTCCACTAGCTAGGTGGGTACCTGACTCCACTAGCTAGGTGGGTACCTGACTCCACTAGCTAGGTGGGTACCTGACTCCACTAGCTAGGTGGGTGCCTGCCTCCACTAGCTAGGTGGGTACCTGACTCCACTAGCTAGGTGGGTCCAGGTGCTAGCTTTCGTCTGATCCATTCCCTCGCAAATCTTTCCAGCTTGGTTTAACCTGCCAAGAGTTTATACTCCCGCTGGTATAGCTCTGGGGGTCATGCCAGGAGTTTACACTCCCGCTGGTATAGCTCTGGGGGTCATGCCAGGAGTTTACACTCCCGCTGGTATAGCTCTGGGGGTCATTTAGTTTACACTCCCGCTGGTATAGCTCTGGGGGTCATGCCAGGAGTTTACACTCCCGCTGGTATAGCTCTGGGGGTCATGCCAGGAGTTTACACTCCCGCTGGTTTAGCTCTGGGTGTCATGCCAAGAGTTTACACTCCCGCTGGTATAGCTCTGGGGGTCATGCCAAGAGTTTACACTCCCGCTGGTATAGCTCTGGGGGTCATTTAGTTTACACTCCCGCTGGTATAGCTCTGGGGGTCATGCCAGGAGTTTACACTCCCGCTGGTATAGCTCTGGGGGTCATGCCAGGAGTTTACACTCCAGCTGGTATAGCTCTGGGGGTCATGGAGTTTACACTCCCGCTGGTATAGCTCTGGGGGTCATGCCAAGAGTTTACACTCCCGCTGGTTTAGCTCTGGGGGTCATGCCAAGAGTTTACAGTCCCGCTGGTATAGCTCTGGGGGTCATGCCAAGAGTTTACACTCCCGCTGGTATAGCTCTGGGGGTCATGGAGTTTATACTCCCGCTGGTATAGCTCTGGGGGTCATGCCAAGAGTTTACACTCCCGCTGGTATAGCTCTGGGGGTCATGCCAGGAGTTTACACTCCCGCTGGTATAGCTCTGGGGGTCATGGAGTTTATACTCCCGCTGGTATAGCTCTGGGGGTCATGGAGTTTATACTCCCGCTGGTATAGCTCTGGGGGTCATGCCAGGAGTTGACACTCCCGCTGGTATAGCTCTGGGGGTCATGCCAAGAGTTTACACTCCCGCTGGTATAGCTCTGGGGGTCATGTCAGGAGTTTACACCCCCCCCCTGGTATAGCTCTGGGGGTCATGCCAGGAGTTTACACTCCCGCTGGTATAGCTCTGGGGGTCATGCCAAGAGTTTACACTCCCGCTGGTTTAGCTCTGGGGGTCATGCCAAGAGTTTACAGTCCCGCTGGTATAGCTCTGGGAGTCATGGAGTTTACACTCCCGCTGGTATAGCTCTGGGGGTCATGGAGTTTATACTCCCGCTGGTATAGCTCTGGGGGTCATGCCAAGAGTTTACACTCCCGCTGGTATAGCTCTGGGGGTCATGTCAGGAGTTTACACCACCCTGGTATAGCTCTGGGGGTCATGCCAGGAGTTTACACTCCCCCTGGTATAGCTCTGGGGGTCATGCCAGGAGTTTACACTCCCCCTGGTATAGCTCTGGGGGTCATGCCAAGAGTTTACACTCCCTCTGGTATAGCTCTGGGGGTCATGTCAGGAGTTTACACCCCCCCCTGGCATAGCTCTGGGGGTCATGCCAAGAGTTTACACTCCCGCTGGTATAGCTCTGGGGGTCATGTCAGGAGTTTACACCCCCCCCTGGCATAGCTCTGGGGGTCATGCCAAGAGTTGACACTCCCGCTGGTATTGCCCTGGGGGTCATGTCAGGAGTTTACACTCCCGCTGGTATAGCTCTGGGGGTCATTTAGTTTATACTCCCGCTGGTATAGCTCTGGGGGTCATGCCAAGAGTTTACACTCCCTCTGGTATAGCTCTGGGGGTCATGGAGTTTACACTCCCGCTGGTATAGCTCTGGGGGTCATGCCAGGAGTTTACACTCCCGCTGGTATAGCTCTGGGAGTCATGCCAAGAGTTTACAGTACCGCTGGTATAGCTCTGGGGGTCATGGAGTTTATACTCCCGCTGGTATAGCTCTGGGGGTCATGCCAAGAGTTTACAGTCCCGCTGGTATAGCTCTGGGGGTCATGCCAAGAGTTTACACTGCCGCTGGTATAGCTCTGGGGGTCATGCCAGGAGTTTACACTCCAGCTGGTATAGCTCTGGGGGTCATGGAGTTTACACTCCCGCTGGTATAGCTCTGAGGGTCATTTAGTTTACACTCCCGCTGGTATAGCTCTGGGGGTCATTTAGTTTATACTCCCGCTGGTATAGCTCTGGGGGTCATGCCAAGAGTTTACACTCCCGCTGGTATAGCTCTGATGGTCATGCCAAGAGTTTATACTCCCGCTGGTATAGCTCTGGGGGTCATGCCAAGAGTTTACACTGCCGCTGGTATAGCTCTGGGGGTCATGCCAGGAGTTTACACTCCAGCTGGTATAGCTCTGGGGGTCATGGAGTTTACACTCCCGCTGGTATAGCTCTGAGGGTCATTTAGTTTACACTCCCGCTGGTATAGCTCTGGGGGTCATTTAGTTTATACTCCCGCTGGTATAGCTCTGGGGGTCATGCCAAGAGTTTACACTCCCGCTGGTATAGCTCTGGGGGTCATGCCAAGAGTTTACACAGCCGCTGGTATAGCTCTGGGGGTCATGCCAAGAGTTTACACTCCCGCTGGTATAGCTCTGGGGGTCATGCCAAGAGTTTACACTCCCTCTGGTATAGCTCTGGGGGTCATGGAGTTTACACTCCCGCTGGTATAGCTCTGGGGGTCATGCCAGGAGTTTACACTCCCGCTGGTATAGCTCTGGGAGTCATGCCAAGAGTTTACAGTACCGCTGGTATAGCTCTGGGGGTCATGGAGTTTATACTCCCGCTGGTATAGCTCTGGGGGTCATGCCAAGAGTTTACAGTCCCGCTGGTATAGCTCTGGGGGTCATGCCAAGAGTTTACACTGCCGCTGGTATAGCTCTGGGGGTCATGCCAGGAGTTTACACTCCAGCTGGTATAGCTCTGGGGGTCATGGAGTTTACACTCCCGCTGGTATAGCTCTGAGGGTCATTTAGTTTACACTCCCGCTGGTATAGCTCTGGGGGTCATTTAGTTTATACTCCCGCTGGTATAGCTCTGGGGGTCATGCCAAGAGTTTACACTCCCGCTGGTATAGCTCTGATGGTCATGCCAAGAGTTTATACTCCCGCTGGTATAGCTCTGGGGGTCATGCCAAGAGTTTACACTGCCGCTGGTATAGCTCTGGGGGTCATGCCAGGAGTTTACACTCCAGCTGGTATAGCTCTGGGGGTCATGGAGTTTACACTCCCGCTGGTATAGCTCTGAGGGTCATTTAGTTTACACTCCCGCTGGTATAGCTCTGGGGGTCATTTAGTTTATACTCCCGCTGGTATAGCTCTGGGGGTCATGCCAAGAGTTTACACTCCCGCTGGTATAGCTCTGGGGGTCATGCCAAGAGTTTACACAGCC